CTATCCATTCAGCAACAAGACAGAAACCTATGGATATTCTGAACGGACATCTCAATAGTCAAGACCCATTCGATATCGACATAAGACGGGCCTTGATTAACAACTACGTCCAACAACACAGGGAAAAAACGACGGAAATATATAGGAAAATCAACGAAGATTTTCAGAAACAGAAAACAAATATCATAGAGAAGAGAAACAAGAAAAGAAACTCCTATCACCTACAAACCCTGCACCAAGGTGTACACAAGAAAAACAGTGGAAAGAAAACTGCTACCACCCTTCTTCCCAAAATCCATCCAGAAAGACCAAACAGTAACTGTCGAGACAGAAAATGCAAACGTCCATAAGAAAAATATAAGACATTTGCCTAATAAGATAACTAAATTCTTCGTCCCTTTACAGCCTTCATCTGACGAGAGGACAGGAGATCGAAATCCAGAACCTCAAGACAAATCCAGGACTACTTCCCCTCAAGATGGGACAAGCAGAGATCAAGACTAGTACCCACGACTTCATCCACTACTACGATCTTCAACCCATCCACGAAGATATCTACACATTGTTCCAGTACGAAAGTTATGGTTCTGGAAGGAGTGCATCTGATAAAACTTCCACCAGGTTGTGAATTCAAAACCAACAACGAAGCCTTCATAAACTCCAAAAGTGTCATATTAGACGAACCCCTCACTTTACCAAATATCAAGACAGCTCACATCAATTCCTCGCTGAAATTCAAACCATTGAAATTAGATAAGATTCCCCTGGATAAACTACAACATCTGACCCTAGAAGAAGAGAGGTTACAACTCATCCCAGAAGAAACCAGACAATCTGATAATAGCCATTTCTGGATGACTCCCATTTACATTCACCATCTTCCTTCTATACGTAATTTATAGATTGAAAAGTCAAACGAAGAAAGAACCATCCAATGCGAATCATAATTTGGATATGGAGATGCACGTGTAATGTTTCCTTTGGGAGGGTACAAACTACTTACGACTGCTCTGAAAAAAACACGCATCATCTTGATTATCAAGATTCACACATGCATGCTTGTTTGCAATCTCTTGGGCAATCGTATGAATGATGCACCGTTGCCCATTTCATATTTATTGATTGCTACGTCAAGCAAAATAATTTTACTCAATGCCCAACCAGAGTCTCTTTCCTGAAATTCGTCGAGTTTATTCAAAATAACATCCACAACATGTTCGTTGTACCAAGCAGACAAATCTGTCCCCAAATCAATGATTTCATTACGAGTATTGAAATATTTTCTATCGATAATTTCCCCGTCATTCGATGTTTTGATGAAATCCCCCAACAATGTCATGTTCACTTTGAGGCATTGCATCTCCTTCAAAATTTTGGAAATTCTAGATTTGAAAAAAAAATGCAATGCTCAAAAATTTTCGCACTTCTTTGTGCGCTAAATTTATAATCACACCTGTCCTCACTCTACCCCAGAAAATTGCATTTACATTTTCCCATTTAACTCTACTGCTTTGTTTCAAACTTAATGCAATATAATTATCGTTTTTCATAACATTTATTATACATCTAATGCGTTTCAACTCCCCAATTTTACTAATAATTTCTTTTTTTCTCCCACTGAAAATTTAATTTTTTTCATTGCCAACTCACATTTTCTAATATGCCTACCAATCAAATTCAACGACGTTCGTGCAAGGGAACTTGAATAATTTTGTTTAATTACTTCAAGCAATTTATCAATTTGCGATAAAATTTTTGAAAACACCATTTTCTACTTACAAAAAAAAATTTTTTTTCCTGCGACGAATACACAAATGAATGCTTGCTGAACGCTGCAGAAGGAAGCTTGAAGTACTACTCTGTAGAAGGACTGTAGGAAACTCGAACCTTGGTCAAATGTGGTGAAGCGATGAACGGAGATAATTCTCAAAGGAAAGCTTGACGAAAAATGTTTCTGTTGTACTGAGGGGCGGAGGGTATATAACTATCTGGAAAACGAAGAAGAAAAATTAATTTCAAATCACACATCTTACCACTTTCAAAGAAAAACAAATGAAAAACAACAATACTAACCTCAATTTTCTACAATTTCGAAAGATGTTGCAGGATTGGCTCTTCCCCGTATTGATCAGCCCTCTGAACACGATGGCGTACTTTTCTTGTTCGAAATGATTTATGAATCCCTCGTAGGTCTTTGTAACTCTCTGCGGTAGAAACGTTATATGCTTCTCCAACTCGAGCAGTACTGTCTTTTCAAATTTCGTCTGCACGATTCGGGCTGAGAAAATTTTCTACGGCTCTCCTAGCGGAAGATTTTGTAATTTATCCACAGGTTTCTTATTCTCTGTGTCCGTTAATTTTGTTCAGATCCATCTACAACAAAAAATTTAACAAATTGAAATTTTTTGATTACACGCACAATTTTGAGCAAAAATTTTAAAAACTTTTTACGGAAAAAGATTATTCGTATTTTTAGAATTGAAAGAAAATTAAATTTTTTATTTGCACAAACACATGCAATTTTGAGTGAAAATTTTAAAACATTTTTCGGAAAACGAGGTATTTTGTATTTCAAATTTCAAAACACACAATCTGAAAACAAAATTCTTGAATACTTTTTGAAATAATCACAAGTACAAACACCTTGGAAAACGAAATCTTTCCGTTTTGAAATACATTGTGAATACCTACTAATTAATAAACGTTAATAAATTACGTATTTCCTTTTTCACAATATTCATATTCGATCATACATATGACCCTTAAGGTCAGCTAATCTGGTTTATTATCAGTGAAACACCAAATATTCCAACGAAATGCAACAAAGTATTCATGTTTAATTATACATGTGACCTTAAGGTCAGCTAATCTGGTTTTCTATCAGTAAAATGCAACGAAAATATCCTAATTAAGTGCAACAAAGTATCTATGTTCACTTATACATATGGAAAACGAAATATTTTGGGATTTTGCAATGGAAAATGGAATTTTTTGATTACACACACACAATTTTGAGCAAAAATTTTCAAAACATTTTACGGAAAACGGCATATTTCGAATTGAGAAAATATGAAATTTTTCGTTTGCAAAAACACACGCAATTTTAACCAAAAGTTTTGAAGACTTTCTGAAATAATTATAAGTACGTACAAATAGCTTGGAAAACGAAATCTTTCGGTTTTGAAATGAAAAATGGAATTTTTCGATTACACCGACACTGTAGTACACAATTTTGAGCAAAAATTTTCAAAACATTTTACGCAAAACGTCATATTTCGAATTGAGAAAATATGAAATTTTTCGTTTTGAAAAAACATACACAATTTTCACCCAAAGTTTTCAATACTTTTTGAAATAATCACAAGTACGTACAAACACCTTGAAAAACGAAATATTTCGGTTCTGTAATGAAAAATAAAATTTTTCGATTGAATCAACACTGTATAGTACACACATTCAAAAAAAAAGTTTAACGAGGCTCTATTGTTTTGACGTGTGATTCTTCAATTTGTACAGGGTGTCTCATTTAGGAAAAAAAAAATGCCAGGTGGGGGTCTCACGTTTTAGCGTGCGATCCCAATGGGATACGTTCAAATACGTCAGCGTGGAAAATAATGATATAATAATAATAATGAACGAAAAATCGGATTAAAGAAAAAAAACATGACGTCAATGTGTACAGGGTGTCTCAAAATACGTCATTTAAAAGATATGACAGTTCAACGAGGCTTTATCGTTTTGAAGAATGACACGTCAAAACCATAGAGCCTCGTTAAACTTTTTTTTTGAATGACGTATTTTGAGACACCCTGTACATAGTGACGTCATGTTTTTTCTTCATTCCGATTTTTCATTCATTATTATTATTATACCATTATTTTTCGCGCCGACGTACACCCTGTACATGTTTTTTTCCTGAACGATGAGACACCCTGTATGGCAGCACCCATGTTTTTTTCTTTAACGCCCCATGGCCATGTTATTTTCTTTAATCCGATTTTTTTGTTAATTATTATTATTATATCATTATTTTCCACGCTGACATATTTGAGACACCCTGTACATGTTTTTTCTCAAACGATGAGACACCCTTTATGACAGACATGTTTTTTTCTTTAATGTCTGTGGCCATGTTATTTCTTCAATCCAATTTTTCGTGCATTATTATTATTATATCATTTTTTTACGCGCTGACGTATTTGAAACACCCCGTACATGTTTTTACTTGAACGATGAGACACCCTGTATGACAAACATGTTAGTTTTGTAATTCCACCGCGTTCTTATCTATCAAATGACTTTACTCGATGCTCATTCCATCCTTCTATGCGTCGATCACGTCGCACACGTCTCTTTCCCACTCACTACCGAAGTACGCTGTGTCCCAGAAGCCCTGTATACTATCTACTCATGTTTTTTATTTGAACGCTACACATCCTGTACACATTGATGTCAGCCATGTTTTTTTTCCTTGATGCTGGACGCCATGTTTTTTTCTTTAACGCTGCACACTCTGTATATCACGATGTTAGTCATTTTTTTTTTCAACGGTGCAAAAATTCATACGTTCCTTATTAGAAAAGCGGCAACGCCTCATAAGTCACATCGAACTGTTTACGCTACTACTATCTTTGAAATAGATCAGTTCGAAGCTACCTCCATCTCTCTCACACTCATATGACTGACCAAACCATCGAAGATATATTATAGTCTTATGTCGTTAAATGATATTTTTCAGTGTCGCTTATCACATTTCCTGTTTGCTACGGCTTTATCAATAATACGTGATAACAATTGTGAATATGCGAAAAAACTGTTTGATATATTTTCACTGAGTTGAAATAAAACAAAAATTTGTTTTTTTCTTCCATGCTGACGAAAGCATCAAAAGTTCCAGTGTTGATGTAAAACTTGAAATCGAAGCATCAAAGGGAATTCCACAAAATACACGAGCCTATTGCATCATTGTGCACGACACTGTCATCGAGCAACTCCCACTCAGCGAAATTATCAAGAAATGGAACTGAAGATGTGATTTTGCTTCAGTATTAATCACAAAGTCAACATGAGAATAGGTGTTGTAGATATTCAAGGTTTCACCATCGAGCAACAATTCCATCCTAAGGAGATAGCCATTAGGATTGTAAATCAGTATAGTAACTTTTTATTGCTGCCAAACAAACCATTTTCCTGTTTGAGTAAAATAGATCATAGTACCGTCTGTTACCTGGAGCGAAACGTTCATGGATTGAGGTATTCCTCCGGCTATGAGGAATTTAATCAATTGGAAGCCATCCTCATGGAAAATCTACGAAATGTCGATATCGTTTATGTGCGAGGACATCAAAAACGTGACTATCTAATTGCGAAATTTCACGAGTTGGATATACCCACACATGCTGTGAATTTGAAAGAGTATGACAATACATCGTGGATGGTTCCCACATTCGGCAACGAAGGTGGTCTCACCCTTTATGCACCACATTCACAGTCGAACCAAATATAATTGCAGCCTCCGAAACGCAGATATTCTATACACATTACCAAAATGAAAATGTATAATAAATATTTAAAATGTTTTTTTCCTTTCTTTAAGTCAACTCTTCACCACATCAGATGATGCACGAAACGTTGCACGAAATCCCTTCAACGCTTCTGACATGTTGGGGATCGCACGTTGAAACGTTATACCCTCCTAACCTCTCATGTTTGCTTGATTTCAAAAACCGGCAACGTCTCATAAGTCACATCGCCAATGCTTCAGCTATACAACCGACAACACCGAACTGTTTACGCTAGTACTATCTTTGGAATTGATCAGTTCGATGCTATCTCCATCTCTCTCACGCTTATATGACTAACCAAACCATCTCAATTACACACACTCTCATGTTGTTAACTGATGTATTTCAGTGTCGCTTATCGCATTTCCTGTTTGCTACGGCTTTATCAATAATACGTGATAACAATGAGAATATGCGAATAAACTGTTTGATATATTTTAATTGAATTGGAATGAAATGAAAATTTGTGTGTGTGTCAAATCAAGGTCCATGCAGCCACACAGCCTTCAACATCCAATGAAACGTGAGTTTTTTTCAATTCCAAACGATCCCAACTGATTTGTTGTAAGTTTTTTTGATGTGACCACACCTCGTGTGAAATGAATTCGTCGTATTTACCGAGACGCCATGTTTTTTCTTCAACGCTGCACGCTGTATACTTTGATATCAGCAACGTTTTTTTTTAACGCTGTACACACTCTGTATTTCATATCTTTTCCTTCTGTTACGTTGGTAGCTGTTTTTTTTTCTTCAACGTCCGTGACTTTGTTTTTTCCTCACGCTGCACTGAATACCCGCCGCCATGTTTTTTCGCTTAACCGCCATGTTTTTTTCTTTAACGCTGTACACACCCTGTATTTGATGTGTTTTGAAACAACACCTTGTATACCCAATTATTATTGTTCTTATGCCTCAATCGAGGACCCAAATCGAGGGCCCAAATCGAGGTCCAAATCGAGGGCCCAAATCGAGGACCCAAATCGAAGTCTAAATCGAGGGACCAAATTGAGGACCCAAATCTAGGTCCAAATCAAAGACCCACCTCCAAATCAAGGACCCATACCGAAAACCTGCACCCCAACCAAACACCTGTCACAGCGCCCATGTCACTTGTCATTCTTTTCCACACCTACACCACCAACGAATACCAACAACCCTCCACACACACACACACGCAAGGGTTGCTTTTTGCGCCACTGCACTCTAATAAACCTCTCTGGGGTTGTTCTTGCTCTTCCTACCACCACCGACCCTCCATCCAACTGACCATCGCCATCCGACTCACCATCCGACTACACCGGAAGTGAATGACGCGGAACGAACATAGTATTCCTACTTTAGAAACATGGTAGTGTGGAGTGTTCTGACGCGTCATAACACCACCATCGTTCTGACGCCGATCGGAAATCGACCGATCGCCGTCACGACAGATCGCGTCCCGAAACACTGCACTTTAGTTATATAATTCTAAACATTTCCAATGTTTGGATACGATATACTTGTGGCGCGTCACGACACACCACGACACAATAATATATTTCCGGCGTAAGGCAGTCGGGCCACAAGGTCGTTTGGGGGCTCTTAACCGGGGTGGTTGGCCACTTTGGGAAGATTGTTTGGAAAGCTATTGAAGGGACTGGGGTGCTAGGTGTTTTAAGACACTGGGTCGTGAGGGGATTTCAGTAGTGATGAATATTCGCGATTTATTTGGCTAGCTGACTTGTGGTAAAAAGTCAGTAGTGTACGAACTCAGAGTAGGTAGGTTAGACTTCCTACGGAGTTCTGGGGAAATCCGTAATTCGAATGAAATACGGTAAGTGATCTTGATATTTGGGAGTTATTCGCGGTTTATTTGGCTTGCTTACTCGAGGTAAAAAGTCGGGAGCGTACGAACTCAGAAGTAGGTCGGTTGGACTTTCTACGAAGTTCTGAGTGAATTCTGGGGGTACTGAAATACGACGTAGTTCAGGTCACCGTTTTGCGAGGTGTTTCGGGATTGATAAATATTCGCGGTTTAGTAGAATTCAGGTAAAGGGAGTCGTGCGCGGAGAATTGGCTCGTTCAATTGAATTTCCTTCAAAGTTTGGAAATTCTTGAGGAAGTTTTGAGTGAGTTAAAATATTGAGATATTTCAAGTCACTGTTTCGAGAAGTGATATTGGTATTTGAGAGTTTGTCGCGTTTTATTTGGCTAGCTGACTGGAGGTAAGAAGTCAGGAGCGTACGAACTCAGAAGTAGGTCGGTTGGACTTCCTACAAAGTTTGTGAAATTATTGAGAGAATTCGCGAAATGATTGAGTTTTGATAAATATTCGCGGGTTGATTCAGTTTAGTCGATTTAGAGAACATATTCGAGTTCCTTCCCTGGCTAACCAACTGTGTAGGTATATCCGAGACTGGCTTGAACGTTTAAATTTCATTTCTTTATATTTGTTTACTGTTCGTCGTCAAGCATAGCCCACTGATTAATGAGAAAGTTTTGCTTCCTTATTCAGAGGAATCGAACAAATTTCGGATATGCAGTTGGTTAGTACCTCGTCCACTAGATGGAGTGACACTTTGTTGTTCGCTCCAACTTTGGAAGATAAATGAAATACCCTGAAAGAATTCCGATTTTCAATTATGGAATATCATTGACTATAGGTCGATGATGACCACTATCTTGCACTGATGAGTGTCTAATGAGCCCGAAACCGGTCTGCAAGTGTGCCCGTTCCAAAATTGAAGGTCGACTCTTTCAGATGTATTACCAATTGCATATGCAGAAAATTTTCTGTGAAGATTCCTGCACTGACGCCTGTCGGATTTTAATCCAACGCTCTTCGTGGTTTTAGCCAGGGGAGTAGTTGTTTTTTGATAGGCGTCAGTCACTCTCAACTGACGTAAGTGATTTTCGATAGAATCAGCACTGCGCCCAGACCCAAAACTACCTGTTGCTTGGGGGAACTGAAGGAACTAGCTCCAATTTTAAAATGCAATTGTAAATATTGCTGATGACAGCACTAAACACACATTAAACTACATTCTGCGAGTGCACAGGTGGTTTTCTTTGTGCCGTTAAGCGCCCAGATAAATGTCTAGATATTTGTCCAATAGTTTGCCACATGTATGACAAGGAATTTCAAATACTACATTCGACTTTTCTGAAGTTTTCAAAGGAGTTTCAGTTTTGGAAAACAGACTATTAGTAGTGGTAACGATGCGTTGGGCAAATTTAATTTTCACTCTTGAACACGTTAAGGAGCTTATTAGTGACTGAAAATATGGTAGTGAGCTGAAAAACAAATTGGCGGTGAATTATTCGTTCTATTTTCTTTGATTTTAAATAATTTAACATTTTTTTATGTAAGAATTTACACTTTGTTTTTTTTTATTTGTCTATGGAGTCGTTGTTTTACTTATTATACTTCATATTTGGAACCTTGGACTTTCATTTCCTCTTGGACTGTGAAACCATCCTCGTAGAGTAAGATGAAGTTAAGAGAACAAAAACAAATAAGAGACTTTTTGTCAATCTATCGAGAAGAGAATAGTGAGTGGAAAGCATTTCAACTAAAATTAAAATTCAGTTATGGAACCATATAATGAGAGAGAATTTGTAGGTATACCAAATGATCAGATTTCAAAAAGACCGGCCTTCGTGCGATCGGCACGAACCCTACAGCCTTTTTGGAATTGCCTGACATTCAAATTTTGATGTGGAGAAATCTGATGTGACAGCAGCTGTCAAATTTTATTTAAATAAGATAAACACGGCAATAGAGAGAAGGTTACCAAGGATTGATAGACAGTTAAGTATTATTTAGTGAAATATATTACATATATTTGTCACCAGTGGGTGGCAAATATATGTAAAAAACCGTAGATGTTACACTGGTGACAGCTATGTGAGATTACACGAGGATTTTTCGGTTAGGAAATCTAATGATTCCATCATTCAGACCTTCTTAATTTTTGTACGTTATTAAACTGTTGACAGGATAGGATCTACCTGTAGTTATAACAACTAATTTCATCAGCATACAGTCAATTGAAAATAAAAAAAAGAAGATTGACTATAGAATAGAATGACAGACGTAAATGTACCAATACCTGACACCTGACTAAGGATCAGATGAATTTGGTTTCCCCTATATAAAAATTAAATGTAAAACACTCAGGCAACTCGTCTCATGAATGACTTGTTAATATAATGAATTTATTTTGTAGTGAAGACATTGAAGAAATTTGAATTTTGAGTTGTTTTTTAATTTTGTCTCATGACCATCCAGTAGCTGACAAGCAAGTTTTGTGTCTAGCCCAAAGCCTGACTATATTTGCACCAGTGCCTGATTTTTTATTTGATTCGAAGGAATACAAAATAATTAGATATGAAATAAACGAAAGATTTTCATTCGAGATGAATAAATGTTGAACTGACTGTTCGTTATGGGAAGTGTTCTCATCTTCATCTTCGAATTCGCCAATTTCTCGTTCGTCATTTGGAATCGTTCCATCACCAACTTCGATTTGTCGATTCTCTAATTCTATTCTTTCTGTTTCTCTAATTGTTTTTGTAACGTTATCTGCGGTAGTGTTGGATTCAAACTTGCAGTTTGTTTTAATTCTTTTCCACAAAAGGTATAAGAATTGATCGATCATTGTTTTCTTCAAATTTATTTATTTTCTCATCGCCAATTTCAGACTGCAAACATTTCAAGTGAATACATAACATTTCTACGGGAACAGCCAAAGCAACTTGAATATTTCTATTTACAGTTTCCTTCAAATATTTGCTATAGTCTACAGCATTTTCAATAAATATTACTGAAGTTTTTTTCCAACACCAAATCGTTATTTTCAACACCTCGACACGTGTTTCGATCACCAAGTGATCATCTTAAAGCAGAAATAACATCTGATTTAAATTCAGATTTAGAAAAAGAATTAGGAACAAAAGTACACATTTATCTTCCTCAGACTCGGATTCAGAAGACAATATGAATTGCGTCAAACAACCAAATGCTAGTCAAAATATGAAAGGTAACTACTCTCCCATTTTCAGCCACATACAAATCGTGTTAATAGTTCAAAGAATGAAAGCACATGTGGATTATCATTTCACAGAAGAGTAGGTACAAGTTTATCCACTGAAGAGGTCCACCCCTATTTTTTTATTTTTTGAAAAGTCTCAATCACGGCATTCAACTTCGTCATATTGTTTATTTATTTTTACTCAAAAGCAATGAGAGTTTAGACGTAGACCTTTTCAAAATCCCCTGTATATATTGTACATCTATAAATGAGTGATTTCCTGATTTCTCCTGTTGATATAACTATTATTGTGTTCTTCTAAAATATATCCTTTCAGATGTGGAGTCAAGAACACAACCTTGAGATGTTGAAAGATTATTTTTTAAAAGGTAACATTTTTCTCAAATCAATTCTGATACTGAATTTCGAAATTTTTCAGTATCTCTTCCTACTGAAGTGTCATCCCAAAAATCTCAATTGAAATCTGTTAACGAACGTGGTAGAAGTGAAGTCGGTATCTCACAAACTTCAAAAAGTTTTTCCGAATCCAACCTATTTCATGGTGAATATGGTATGATTATTTTTATAAACATTACTATTATCTATTGTTTTTGTAGATGAAAATTTCTAAAGGGAAATATTGATAGAGCACAATATTTTGAACATCAAGATGTACCAGCTTTCACAAGACATATCTAATATGAACTTGATTAAGAGCAGGCAAGATGAAGATCCTGTTCAACAGGAATCAATATTGGATCAATTCCAATTACCTCTGAGAACTGAAGAAGATCTCAGTCTGTTTGAAGATTTTCTTTAGGATAAGGAGAATGTAGCTAAAAGGGTTAGTATATTTCCCTTGTATTTATATAATATAATCTATGTTTTCATTACAACACAGATGACCAAAGAGTGCAGAATTCTCACCCCATTGTTGTGAGCTTGGAGACCTGTCAAACTTCTGTTTCTCAGGGATCTTTTTTCAATAGAACAGCTGAACTTTGGAACTCCTCAACGAGAGAGGTTTTTCCTAATGCTTATAAACTTCAAAAATTTAAAATGAATGTTAGTTAATTCGTATCTCCTGTTTCCCAAATGTTTTCCAGTTCTATTCACTCAACATGTTTTTATTTCAAATATATATAGGTTTATATATTCATTATTAATGTTTTATACATTCCAAGAATGTTTTCTATTTATTGTTTTTATTGATAATAATTAGAAGAAAAACGACTGTTTTGATAGTAATAAATTTATTTTGTATTCAAGGATTTTTTATTATTGCAGTATCCAAAAATACTTCATGTTCATTCTGATGATTCCCCTAAATATGTCAGTATATTTAAAATATTATTGATTTTGAATGTACAAGTAAAATATACATGGAATATTCTGAGAATATTCAAATATTCTCACATAATATTCTGTGATCCTTTTCAGAACATCCTATGAATATTCTCAGAATATTGATAAATTTGAATGTGCACATAGAACATACCTAAAATGATTTGAAAGGGTTATATTTTTAGGAGTGATTAATTTTTGGGAAAGAAAGTTTTTGGCTTTCTACTACTTCATATTATTACATAATATTCGTTTCATATTGTGAGAACATTCTGAGAATATTCAAATATTCCCAGCCTATATTCTATAGATATTCTATGAATGATATTGTGCTATATGGGAAGTTTGTCAAAGGCGTTAGATTCCAAAATGCAAGTGAGACATTCTTTGTCATCATTACTAGTAAATGAATATAATGACTCATCTCCTCTTCTAACCAAAGCCTTTTCTCCATTTGGAGCGAAAAATATGGCAGTGTCATCAGTACTGAATATTCTTGTGTCATTTCCTAAGACATCAGAATTATTACTTAAGTCAGCTTTTACTTCTTGAAACAATTTTCTCAAATGTTCTTCTGTTACAGAGGACCAGCTCTACTCTACATAAATAGTTTGAACCAATTCCAGGTTTTCTATCTTTGAAGGGGGTTTCGCAGGATACCTTTTTCAAGTACATCTGAATTGAATCTATCAATTGCGATTTGGTAACAGGAAACCCTTCATTAGCACTTTTGAATATTCGGTATACTATATTTCGCTCCTCTTCTACAGAAAGATTTATTTTCGGACCAGGGTTCCCAAATTGTGATGATACTGTGCTGTGCTGTGCTTTCTTCATTTAAAAGCAACAATATAATAAGACACTTGGGAATATCCTCTCCTTGACTGATAAAGTCAGACAGGCTGTACATATTACACGCTGGTGCGGCGTGGCGTGGGCAAACAGATGATTAGTCAAATAATTTGTGTTTAAAATTAGTTTTATCAAATAAATTTGTCCCTTCAGCAAAATACGGGACTTTTGCCGTCCCTTATCAAAGTTTACCGGGACGCGGCACAAAAGTATAAATTAATGTACTGTCCCTTAAAATCCGGGACGTTTGACAACCTTGTTTCGGACCCATTCGACGCTTTTCAGGATACTTTCCCTCAACTTTGTAGAACAAAGTACCCCATTTCAAAATGTTTGAGGCAGCCTTAATTGACATGTTATCTTTAACTGCTGACAGGGCTCGCTGCATTTGCTCAATATCTTTGACATGATAATCTGCAAAATAAAGTAAAAAGTTACCAGTACCTGACCCTAAATATTCCAATAGCTGAACCATTCTGCAGCTATTCGTCTAGTGCCAAGTAGTCTAGCCACATTGTTGACAGGCTGAAAAATACTTAAATGATGTTTCACCATTTCATTAGTTATGATTGATAAAGTAGCTTATTATTTATAATATAATTATAAGGTGATTGTCGACCAATACTAAAGAATGCAGCTGAACTTCATTAAAGGTCGGCCGGTGGTCTAGCGGTCTACGGCGTTGTCATATAACCCATTAGACTATTTCATTGCTGGTTCGAACCGCGAAACGAAACGAATTGGGGGAATATGAGTTTATTATTATAGTACGGTAGTATAGTAGTAAAAAAAAATTAAAAACCTGTAAATTCGTTAAATGATTTAAAAAAAACCAATATATTTCTTGTATGATTTCGCTCCTACCGAGCAACATCTAAATTGATAGCAAATTGCTAAAAACAACTCTCCTCGACAGGAAGACTTAACAGATTGTCTCTGGTCTGGATTCCTGGCCATATTGGCCTGGAAGGCAATGAGGCTGCTGACTCCCTTCCAAAGGAGGGTGCTGCAAACAGCTTCATCGGACCAGAACATGTGGTTGGCATCGTTTTAGGCTTTGCCAAACAAGATTGAACACACGGATGGCGAGAAGATTTATGGACTTCTGGCAAAATCTTCCAGGATTGGCTCACTCCAAGGCGTTCATTCACCCATCGAAGCTTGATACCAAACAATTATTGGATTACAGAATGGATATGAACTAGGATGTCTAACAGGCCTTCTTACAAGTCACTGTCATTTGAATCATCATATGCAGAGACTTGGACTGTCGGAAAACAGTGTGTGTCGCCTCTGTTTGGAATATGATGAAACAGCAGAGCACATACTCAAACTATGAACTAGGATATCTATCAGGCCTTCTTACAAGTCACTGTCATTTGAATCATCATATGCAGAGACTTGGACTGTCGGAAAACAGTGTGTGTCACCTCTGTTTGGAATATGATGAAACAGCAGAGCACATACTTGGTGTCTGCCCTGCTGGGGACCGAATCAGGTTTTTAGAGTTCGGCAGAGCCGAACACCATACAAACAAACCGGCTTTGTTAAGAAGCTGGGTTTATTTCGACTATTTATCGAAAATTATACAGTATGTTTTCTCCACCAAACTGAGTGAACAAGTCAGAATCCCTTTATCAAAGGTTGTCCAAAATACCTATCAAATTTTACAGGTGCTTTTGTAAATGACATAACACCACGCCATGAGAATATATGTACGCTTAGAGCTTTCCTAATTAACATACATAACATATTCACATACATAACATATTCACATACATAACGAAAAGCATTTTGAGTAATAAGTCAGTTGACTGTATACACAATTTTAGTACAATATATACGTTGACTACATTATTTTAGTATGAACCTGTTACATATACAATTTTTATCTCAAGAATTTTGGCTCAGATAATATCTGGTAGAATAATCAATTCACGGTAAATGCCAGAAATCAATCAAGAATTGGCAACCCTGCGATACATTCTTGAACAGGAAGTATAGATTGACATTTACAGAAATACTAATTATTTGACGCATGCGCACTGAAAATTTATATCCTGAAAAATTCTCTTTTTTGCCTCTTGGTAGTTGGTGTACTCTGTGAAAATATTCTGTCAAAAATATTCATCGAGTAAAACCCTCAACTCTAGTATAACCTAACCTCAATTGGTATAACCAATCTGAGGGTATAGAAACTCGATAGATAACATTCGTACCAACCAAAATAATTGAATATACTCAGAACAATGAACATATTATTGCCTAATTTTTTATGAACAATGAAACGTGTCAGGCTTAAGAAGGTGTCAGGCATTGGTATATTTACGTTAAACAGAAAAAAACAAATATTCAGTGACATTGTTTTTCGAGTTTACCAGAGGTTTAACTATCATGGCTTGCTGTCCGATGACTAACTTTTAGGCTTCGTAAAGCGTTAGGTTATTGAAACTGCTCAGAAGTTAAATCGTACAGGCTTCATGATTGACGAGACTTGGGTTGGTTCTCTTCTGTTAGCGAGACTTCCAGAAAAATTCATGCCTATGATTCTAGCCATCGAACATTCAGGAATCGACATAAAGACAGATGAAATTAAGTCGAAGTTGCTCGATATGAACATAGATGGCGGAGGTGATAAAGGTGATAAAGGTTGGAGCGGTCGCAGTAAAACCCCACATCAGAAAGTCGCGATGGAAACCGACAGATGGCAGCAATAGTTCCAATACCAAAAATCGGATTGACAGAAGTAATGTCACTTGTTATAAGTGCAAGCAGAAAGGCCACTTTATGAATAAATGCCCAGGTGATGCTGAAACTCGTTCTGACAAAGATGCCAAAAACTTGTTCTGACAAAGCTGCCGAAAGCTGCCAACAATGCTTTTAGTGCAGTATTTTTAAGCAGAAGTTTCAAAACTACAGATTTCTTTATTGATTCTGGTTGTAGCATACATCTCACAACTAGGAAAGATTGGCTCAAAAATATACACGAAAACCAAGAATTGACAGAAATAGTTGTGGCCAACAAAAGTACAATGATGTTTGAGTGTGCAGGTGATATGGAATTAACTACTTCAGTGGCTGGAAGTAATCATGATATAACCATCAATGATATCAGATATGCTCATGATTTGACAACAAATATGTTGTCTGTGTCACAACTCATGATGGAAATGATGTAGTTTTTGATGTGAGTGGTTGTAAGATTTATAACAGAGCAGGTACACTCATTGCTACAGCTAATCTAGTTGAAAATGTGTATCAGCTGAATTTCAAACCACCTTCACAATGCTCTTTACTGGCAGCAAACCAGATTATCGATGAAGTATGGTATCGCAGGTTTGACCATTTGAACTATAAGGATTTGAAGTTGATGAAAAATGGCATAGTCAGTGGCATGGAATGCACAGAATTTTAATATTTTAGGTGGATGATCCAAAATTAAACTTTAGCTTTACCTTTTTTTGTGTTTTTATTCACCATACTCAAATACATATATATATATATATATATAACATAACCTTACATACTCTAAAAGACAGTTTTTCTTTAACTAGAGAACTTTTAATATAGAACTTAAAACTATGACTGACTTATGTCAAGAGACATTGTGACTAACACAATGTTTGACTAACACAAGTGGCCTAACAGTTGTCACTGTTAGGCCACTTGTAATACATATGAGATACTACAAGTTGGCAACACGGGACAGTCGTGGTTAACGCAGGTTATGTTGACAGAGCATGACTACATACAAACGTGCTCATGAGTTTCGTTTCTGACATGTTGGTGGGCGGACATGCCGATAGCGACCGATCACAAAGAAGGTACGCGGACGCCATTGTTGGAGGTGGAACTCATGTTGTGTATATCCGCCATTTTCTAACGTGCATGCAAAAGTTGAAAAAGTGATTATAAACATGGTTTTAGTGTATT